CTGATAGATAGATGTCACATAGATAGATTCACACATTCTGCCCGAAACGCTGCGCGTACTAGTGGCTTTACTAGGTTGTAAATACTATGCCATGTATTCTCTCTAACCCAATGTACCTTCTTGTATATAAATAAATAAATAAATAAATAAATAAGTAAATAGGCTGTAGGTTACTCTGATGAAATTGTCATCTAAAGACTCATATATCCTAAGTTTTGCTTGATTTGTTGTGATCAGTCATCCAGCCGTGAGATGTGTCATCCATGTGGATTGATCGGTACAACGATGACATTTGGCTGTTAACAGCCACAGGCAGCAACAGCCACCAGGCTGTTGCAAGCAGCTATAGCCTAGTGGGTGTTGGCTGTCCCATTAGGCTGCAAGCAACAGCCTGGTGGACCAAACTCTCACAAGTCAAGCCTGGCCTCGGGCCGGGCTTGGGCAGTAGAACAACTCCCAGAACCCCATCAACCAGGTATATGTGGGCCTGCGGGCCGCTCCAAGCAACAGCCTGGTGGACCAAACTCTCACAAGTCAAGCCTGGCCTCGGGCCGGGCTTGGGCAGTAGAACAACTCCCAGAACCCCATCAACCAGGTATATGTGGGCCTGCGGGCCGCTCCAAGCAACAGCCTGGTGGACCAAACTCTCACAAGTCAAGCCTGGCCTCGGGCCGGGCTTGGGCAGTAGAACAACTCCCAGAACCCCATCAACCAGGTATATGTGGGCCTGCGGGCCGCTCCAAGCAACAGCCTGGTGGACCAAACTCTCACAAGTCAAGCCTGGCCTCGGGCCGGGCTTGGGCAGTAGAACAACTCCAGAACCCCATCAACCAGGTATATGTGGGCCTGCGGGCCGCTCCAAGCAACAGCCTGGTGGACCAAACTCTCACAAGTCAAGCCTGGCCTCGGGCCGGGCTTGGGCATGTGGGCCTGCGGGCCGCTAGAAGTCAACTCCCAGAACCCCATCAACCAGGTATATGTGGGCCTGCGGGCCGCTCCAAGCAACAGCCTGGTGGACCAAACTCTCACAAGTCAAGCCTGGCCTCGGGCCGGGCTTGGGCAGTAGAACAACTCCCAGAACCCTATCAACCAGGTATCAACCAGGTATCAGCCAGGTGATGTCATGTCCCTCCTGCTGGGTTGTCGCTCGATCCCCGATGGTCCAGGTGGCTGGCTGCGTTCTCGACTCATAATTGGGAATTGATATGAGAGGGAGCATATCTCAGCTCTTGCTTATCCTCATCTCGGCTCCTTACTCTCACATGGGGGAGATATTAATTATTATTACTAATAATTATTGTAGTAGACGACCTTAGCTCTTCATCTATACTCTGTATCTCGAACACATTGTTGATGTGACGACTTATCTTGAATTTTGTAACTAGCTCATCAAGATTGTAACTTGCTTAACTAAATGAATTGTGGGGTTCAGTCCCTGAGCCCATTATGTGCCTCTGTAACCCCCTTCCACTACCGCCCACAAGATGGGTATGGGGTGCATATTAAGTGAACTAAACTAAACTAAACCTCAATAATGGAGAGGGAGGGTTAAGTCAACAAGAAGAATGCATTGAAGGAAGATTAAGTTGTGAAAGCCACCTCCTTCCACAACCATAAGGTTACATTATAATGCAACAGGTTCAACAAGGCCAGCAGGCCTCACTACCCCGTCGACACTGTTAGGATTTACAATTCGTCCTCTTTAATAATAGTACATCATTTTAGTGACGTTGGGAACGATCAGGAGGACGGGCTGGTGTGCCAAACTCGTGCTCACACAGTGGCAACACTGACTCACGCGATGACAAAGAAAACGTTAACGTATCACATGCGACTAGAAAACGTAATTAAGGTAAACTCAACTATTTTTACAATGTAATATTTTTTCTTATTCTCCTCTGTTAGGGACAGGAAGCCTGTGAGGGTCATGGGGAGCCCTGAGAGCCAGCTACTGCCCTTCTCTAGGATGCTGCCCACAACAGTTGCTAACTCCATGGTAACTATTTACGCCAGATGAATACACAAGTGCTAATGCTCTATCTTCACAATCACTAAGCTTACCTTACTATAGGTGAACAGAGGTATCAGATGGAATAAAACGTGCCCAAAGGACGGACCGAAAGGTCGTCGTCTCCTCATCTTCTAATGTGTGGTCTGGTCAACGTATCTTCAGCCACGTTATTGTGACTAAATGCCACAGTAAATACTGAGCTAAATAAAGTCCATCTGTGGCTAACTGCCAACAAACTCACCCTTAACATTGACAAAACCTTTTATATTCTGTTTGGCAATAAATCCTCTAATCAAATAAATCTCAAAATAAACAATACCCAAATTTGTAACAAATTAGATGGCAAATTCCTTGGCATTCTCATTGACCACAAGCTTAATTTCCAGGGACACATTCTAAACATATCAAAAAAAGTTTCAAAAACTGTTGGCATTCTTTCTAAGATCAGATATTATGTACCACGCCCTGCCCTGGTGACTCTCTATTACTCCCTTATCTATCCATATCTCAACTATGGTATTTGTGCTTGGGGCTCTACTACCCAAAATCACTTACGTCCTCTAATTACTCAACACAAAGCTGCTATTAGGACAATATCCAATTCTGGCCCCAGACATCACTCGGTACCCCTACTTAAATCTCTGAATATGTTAGACATTAAGTCACTGCACATTCTCTCATGTGTATTATACATATATAAAACGCTAAACTATAATGCCAATCCTGATCTCAAAAGCTTCATAGAAGGTTGTATCAGAACCCATGAGCATCACACCAGAAATAAATACAGTTCAAGGGGCCCAGAATGTGGAATGACCTTCCCAACCATGTTAAAGACTGTACCTCTCTCAACCAGTTTAAGTTAAAAGCGAAGCTATACCTAATAAATTCCCTGTAACCTACTTACCCTTCTATTGTCAACCAATGTCTGTTTTTTTCTTTAAAGAGCGCTGTTTGTCGACATAATTGTATTTGTGCTGCTTTTTCATCTATGTTTTCATTTCTTGTTTTCATTCTACTCATTATGCTCAATTAGTATTAAGCTTGTCATTTAAGTTTATCATGCCCGAAACGCTTTGCGTAATAGTGGCTTTAGGCATTGTATGTACTAGCTCTACCTATAAGTCAAACAATCCTTGTAAATATTTATTGTATGTATGTACCTTACCTAAATAAAATTGTATTGTATTGTATTGTATTGTGACTCCTCGTCTGCATACCACATAATAGTTCTCTAAGGCTGCTAATAAATGTAATAATATGACTTCCGAGTTATTCTCCTTGAATAATGGGATCAGAAAAGTAGCTAGAAAATGGGAAAAAATCTATCAACTTCCCTGAGATCTTAGACAAGTTGAAATATTTTTAGAGTTCAGTGCTCCAGACGTCCCAACAATTCCGAACATTAAATAGGAATACCTGTCGGTAATATATTAATTAATTTATTTAAGAAGATACATTGGGTTGTGAGGGTATATAACATAGGTGTTTGAGCGCTACATTCTTGCAAAGCCTCTAATACGCATATAGAGACTACCAACGACCAAAAAATCTCTTCAAATGTCCGGTCTGTCATCAAGGTTGAAAAAGGAGTCCTTATTCTCCAATAGTGTTTGGTGGACTTCCTATGTTGGAATACCACATCCTTAAATACCTCATAAATAACTTCTCTAAGTTGTTTATGAGGTCCGGCCTCATAAACAGAGGTCAATATGAATGCATCTTTTGGGGGTTGGCCGCATCACGGTCAGCATATTCAAATTCAAAAATTTAAAATTCAAATTTTGTATTCAGGAAAAATACATACCATAGATGATTTGCAAACATAAATTTAGATTTATAGATAGAGCTAATACATACAATGCCTAAAGCCACTAATACGCATAGCGTTCAAGTTCAAGTTCAAGTATGTTTATTGAGATAAGCAATAAATACATCTCAAAGGGATAGAGTAGCTTAGGCTATTTCTACCCCCCTCTACTTCAAGTCCCTCAAGGGGCGCACAAATTCAGTGAGTACAAATAGACATATAACAGTACAAGAATCCCATTTAACATTGCATACAGCAAGTACAGCATATAATTGTTAATTGCATAGCGTTTCGGGCAAGTGGTTACGGTTTTCTGAAGGACTTTGGCATACCAACTAAAACACTTGAACTGGCCTATCCTAATCCTAAACATACACACAATCATAATATTGATAATAATATTAGTGTATATTTGACAATATATTTAAATTGTATACTCTTTACACCCCTGATATAACCGCAAAGCTGTAAATGATGCAACTGTAATTACCAAGACAGAACTACGTTTCAAATTCAGTTGGACCAAATCCTCAAGAATTTATAGACTAACTTAATTGACAAGCCGCTATATTTTTAATTGTTGTCCCCTTTGAGGTAATTATAGATGGTGGCCTCAGGTAAATATGGGTTTTAATAGATAGTCTACCGCGATTGAGCTAGTAGCTCTCATATAAACTCAGGCAAATATGGATATCAATAGATAGTCTACAGCAGTAAACTCAGGTAAACCTCAGACAAATTTGGGTAACAGTAGTCTACAGCAGTTGAGCTAGTGGTCCTCAGGTAAACTCAGGCAAATATGGGCAACAATAGTGGTCTACACCAGTCTTCAGGTAAATATTGGGTAGCAACATACGGTCTACCATAGTTGAGCTAAGGTAAACTCAGGCCCATAGGGGTACTACCAGTGTCTACCGCAGTTGAGTTAAGGTAAACTCAGGCCCATAGAGATAAAGCCAGACAATCTACCACAACTGAGCTAAGGTAAACTCAGCTAGGCCCATCGGGGTACCACTAGTGTCTACCGCAGCTAAGCTAAGGTAGACTCAAGTCCATAGGGGGTACCTGAGCTAAGGTAAACTCAGCTAGGCCCATAAGGGTACCAGTAGTGTCCACCATAGTTGGGCGTGCATACAACAGATGGCGCTAGTAGCGCGGCGGCCGCCATGACAGGAGAAAGTGACCAGTTGCCAGTCCTTTCTACAAGTGTCAGCCAGCTGGTGGAACAGCTGACACTACAGCTGCTTCGAACAGCTGCTGACGTCGTCTGCTGCCTGTCCAACACCTGTAGCGCGTATATCTGTCACCTTAAGCCAGATATAAAGGTATGGCATGAGGGGGCTTTGTTAATTGAGGTGTAGATTGCTTTATTAATTGGGGTTATCGTGGTTGTAATAGGCTATCGTGTTTGACCCCATTTCATGGGGTAATTTGTGATAATATGTGCTTTTTATGTACAAAATTGTCATATATCGACACCTGCTGAACTGTTTGTGCCAATAATGGTAGTTTGCAGCTCATTCATCTCATAATTATAACCTATAACTCATAAATGTACCTTACCTAAATAAAATTGTATTGTATTGTATTGTATTGTATTGTGTTGTATAAATTTCCCAAACTTGTGGTACAATCGGATTGGTTCTCGACTCACAATCGGGAATTCCGGGTTCGAATCACGGGCAAGTCAGTGGGCTGCATTTCTTAACACCTAATGCATCTGTTCACCTAGCAGTAAATAGGTCTCCGGGAGTTAGGCAACTTACAGGGTCATCCCCCCCCCCCATAAGGGGTGGATCCCCCCTCTCCTGGGGACAGGGGGGGGGGATTGTGTACAATAATTTAATATATTATTGGCTATTATTGACCCTTGACAATAGAAGTGACCTTTGTGAGGTTGCTTAAAAAAAAATATCTTGTTTCAGTTGGGGAAGAAAGAGGCAAAATATCTTTTGTCTCTTTCCTAACTCCTAATTTGATGTAAGGAATTAGGAAAGCTAAGGTTAGGTTAGGTAAGATCAGAATATATTAGTTTTGAGTGGTTATAATTATTGAATTATAACCACTCAAACCTAATATATTCCTATCTAACCTAACCTTGGATTTCTTTATTTTTCATTTTTTTTTAAGAGTAAGAGTTCTTACATTCTTGTACTAACTCGTTCTTTCATAACTCCTGACAACCAATTATATTCCAAGCTGACCTAGACCTGGTTTTACTAGGCTTTAATTTACAAATTTATCTGTCCATTATAGACTTGAGGTGAGTCAGTCAGTATGGTGGACGATGCAACTCGCAAGACTCTAAGTGCAATTCCTTTGTTGCGGACAAAGGCGGGACCTCGGGACAAGGAGGCCTGGGTCACACGCTTGAAGGAGGAGTATCAAGCTCTTATTAAGGTATGTATACAATTGCAAATTGTTCACATTACCTGTACTATAAAAATGTTTTTGGCTGTGACTCATACGTTTGCGAGCTGCCGACTCAGCCTGGTTGATCGTCCGGCAACCAGGCCTGGTTGATCAGTCCGGCCGCGTCCAACAGCCTGGTTGATCAGTCCGGCAACCAGGAGGCCTGGTCGACGAGCGGGCCGCGGGGACGCTAAGCCCCGGAAGCACCTCAAGGTAACCTCAAGGTAAGGTAGGGGGGCTTATGCTGTACTATACAGTCTAATAATTAGAAAGAGTGAATAGCTATAATGCAGTTTATAAACAATTATGTGGTTGAATGTCATTTGATTGCCTTTTTATACTTTTCCTAAAAAAAACTGTGATAAATTAATTTCTTTGTGGTGTTGGCAAGTGTGGATATTATTATGAAAGGATTTTACTGATTACTTTATGCTTGTATATTTCATATTTTAGGGGTAAACATATCAATTGTGACACTAGCTCTCCACATATGTCAGTGCCTAAAATGCATGTAAAAACATCAATGCTATGTACTCATAACCCCAATATACTTTCTTGTTTATCTATATAAATAAAAGTTGTTTAATTTAGAGACTGTACTTGTGGTCGGTCTCGAGCCCGTTGCTGATGTGACGTGATTATATTTTGTAACAAGCTCGTCAAGATTGTAACGTGTTCTGCTAAATGAATTGTGGGTTCCAGTCCGAGCCCATTATGTGCCTCTGTAACCCTTTCCATTATCGCTCACAGGATGGATATGGGGTGCATAATAAATTAACTGAACTAAAACTAACTATTTACAGTATAACATTGTATTATATGTGTTAATAAGAATATTATTTTACTGTATTTGTACATTATACAAAGGAACTTGTTAGAGTATGAAGTACTCTATGACTGTACTCCTCAAGTACATAGTCATAGTATGTACATACATAGTACATGTATGTAGTAGTCATAGTATAACTATGTACTCCTCACGATAAGAGGAGAGTGGCTACCGTGTAGGTACAGAAATTGTCCATTATATAAAGCCGCTAATTATGCACGACGTATTAGGCATCGCTGTCGTTAGCGTCGCTGTGTTAACTTGTACAGTTTCCGATATTTTGCCTTGGATTAGTTTGTATATTTACAATTGTCCAATGACAACCTTATTGAGGAACATTTGGAAGTGGGTGTGTCCTGTGACAAAATATGGTCATTGACATATGGAATGATGTTCCTTTGTATCACGTCCTCTTGGTTGTAGTCGTAGTGGATCCATGTTCCTTTGTATCACGTCCTCTTGGTTGTAGTCGTAGTGGATCCATGTTCCTTTGTATCACGTCCTCTTGGTTGTAGTCGTAGTGGATCCATGTTCCTTTGTATCACGTCCTCTTGGTTGTAGTCGTAGTGGATCCATGTTCCTTTGTATCACGTCCTCTTGGTTGTAGTCGTAGTGGATCCATGTTCCTTTGTATCACGTCCTCTTGGTTGTAGTCGTAGTGGATCCATGTTCCTTTGTATCACGTCCTCTTGGTTGTAGTCGTAGTGGATCCATGTTCCTTTGTATCACGTCCTCTTGGTTGTAGTCGTAGTGGATCCATGTTCCTTTGTATCACGTCCTCTTGGTTGTAGTCGTAGTGGATCCATGTTCCTTTGTATCACGTCCTCTTGGTTGTAGTCGTAGTGGATCCATGTTCCTTTGTATCACGTCCTCTTGGTTGTAGTCGTAGTGGATCCATGTTCCTTTGTATCACGTCCTCTTGGTTGTAGTCGTAGTGGATCCATGTTCCTTTGTATCACGTCCTCTTGGTTGTAGTCGTAGTGGATCCATGTTCCTTTGTATCACGTCCTCTTGGTTGTAGTCGTAGTGGATCCATGTTCCTTTGTATCACGTCCTCTTGGTTGTAGTCGTAGTGGATCCATGTTCCTTTGTATCACGTCCTCTTGGTTGTAGTCGTAGTGGATCCATGTTCCTTTGTATCACGTCCTCTTGGTTGTAGTCGTAGTGGATCCATGTTCCTTTGTATCACGTCCTCTTGGTTGTAGTCGTAGTGGATCCATGTTCCTTTGTATCACGTCCTCTTGGTTGTAGTCGTAGTGGATCCATGTTCCTTTGTATCACGTCCTCTTGGTTGTAGTCGTAGTGGATCCATGTTCCTTTGTATCACGTCCTCTTGGTTGTAGTCGTAGTGGATCCATGTTCCTTTGTATCACGTTCTCTTGGTTGTAGTCGTAGTGGATCATAGTGTTGTCTCACAGGTCTGTCTTGGCTTCGCATACTTTTGTCTATGACCATTTTGGTATGATTGTCATTATATAACACAATTTTGTTCCTGGTAGTTTTTTTCTGATTGCTTATGCCTGCGAAGTACAGACATGGCTATTATTCTCCTCAAACTTCGCTATGACCTTTTCCCGTAGTGTTGCTTTCCTCCATCCTATCCCAGATCCTTGTACTCGCCTCTCTTCCTTGTACTATATAGTTGTACTGGCTTGGTGCTTTCTCTTGATAATTACCATAACTTAAACACCTTAGGGAAGATGCCTTGAAGGTACTTGAAGGCCGCGAACTTGTGAAACAATGTGTCACAACTCTAAATAAGTAGTCGGCAGTCATAGGCACAGCACTGTACATACACCTGTGATAGTGCTAACAAATTCCTGGTGTCATTTAGGAACTGTGCAATCAATTAGCATGTTATCCGCTTACTGTACAAGGTAGTACAATACTGTATGTACCGTGATTTCAAGAAGCATTTTTATGGGAGCTGATATTGGAATATAAAGGTACAATGAGTAGTGCAGGCGATTGAGTCACAATAACGTCGCTGAAGTATGTTGACCAATCCACACACTAGAAAAGGAAGGGACGACGACGTTTCGGTCCATCCTGGACCATTCTCGTCATCATCCCTTCATTTTCTAGTGTGGATTGGTCAACATACAATGAGTAGTATCTCTACCACTCTTCTACATATATACGACAATTGCTATATAGTTGTAATGGCTTGGCACTTTTTCCTGATAGTTCTCTCGTCTCTACCATGGAAAAAAAATGGGCCAATGACCTTCATCTGTGTGTGATATTGCAGAGTTATTAATTTGCATAACGTCATTTTTTTATTACAGTATGTTCAGAGCAACAAAGACGCTGGCAATGATTGGTTTAGATTGGAAAGTAACAAAGAAGGAACAAGATGGTTTGGGAAATGCTGGCACGTCCAAGATTTACTCAAATATGAATTTGACGTCGAGTTTGATGTAAGTTTTCATGTCATTTACTTGTGTAATTGATATCTTCAGAGTGGCTTTCTATGGCTACTGGCACACATTTTGTAATTATGCTTCAAATTAAATAACTTTTTGTGGTTATATAAATATTTTTTTCTTTGATTATTGAACTACTAAAAACTTGTTGTTTAATATTATTAAAAACACAAGACACACATACCAGATTGGCCAGTTCGTAGAAAACGTGGGTTTTTGTGAGCCGCTACTTTTCATCGTACGTTGCATTTGGTACCATAATGCATTAAGAGTTAAGAGGTCAGGTTGGAATACTGGCACTGTCCATCCTAAAAGTGCACTACAGTACAGCACTTGTATTCTTATTTATATACTGTAGTATTAAAAATATAACTGCAAATTAAAATGAGTTCACAAAGAAATTCATCTTTGTGAACTGTGAAGCCAAAACTGGAAGGAAATTGGCATCAGGGACTAATGGAAGGTCAGGAGCACCAAGGTTGGCAAATTTCCTTTCTCCTGATGCCTCTGCTCACCTAGCAATAAAATAGATACCCAGGGGTTTGACAATTGTTGTGGATTGCCTCCTGGGGGAGTGTCAGTTGTCCTAGGACAAGGGTTCTTAACTTGGGGTCCATGAATTCATATTTTGTGTATGTCGTACACTGTATGAGGTAATCAATTTTCAGTGAAATAGTGTATTAATTACATGCAAAAGTTGTGTTTGTGTGTGTACATTTTTCTAGGGAGGGGAAAGTGGTTCCATAGCTTCCACCAAATATTCTCATGACTCAAAAAAGGTTAAGAACCACTGTCCAATCACTTGGACTGGACAGTAGAGCGACAGTCTTGCTTCTTGCAGATCAGTGTTCATGTGGGAACCGACCTGTGAGATTTATATTTATTTAATTTATATGAATTTATATTTACGTTAATTTATATACTTCGATAGCAATTTGTATAATGATAAGTGGACTGTATTTCTGCAATAATCTCAATCTCACAAATCGATCCTCTACACATTAGGGGGGGTTTATTAAATTAATATATGCAGCCAATCAAACTACAGGAATAGACTACATACATTGAAAAGGTTCCTTATCTTATAGTACAGCAGGTTAGTCCACCAGGTATAAATAGGGTGTAGACACCAAATTATCCTCTTTGAGGCAGCTTCCATATCACCCAGTAACTGGTGCACAAATCTTGCTTCCTCGTCTTGACCTGTCAAAAGTGCGCTAGCTGTGAAGCCAGATTCTATATATGACAAGTATTTGAGAAAACTGTACATGGAACATGAAGACCTGGCTTAATTACCTTTAGTTTGAGGCTTCCACGTGCTCTAACCGGGTCACCCTATATAATGACATTAATGGCCACTAATGATAGATAATGGGTTTCGGAAAGAACACTTAACTTGATTTGTTGACAGCGTGTTGACAGATGGTACACCTTTGGTATCCATAACACTACGTCCAAGTAAAATTAACAGGAGCCGCATTTGCTCCCGTGTGAGCCTCTGGTCTCAGTATAAACAATGGCTGCCCTCCTTCCCCACTGACGCCTGGCTTACATTGTCCACATGTCAGAAAGTGATAGAAGGGTCACATTTACTCTACTTTAATATTGATAATTAAGTTAATTTATATAAGATGTTTTTATGATGGTAAAGTCCAAAGACTAATGTATTTAAGAACAATTCCCAGCAGAATAGCTGGTGAATTATAATAGTATGTGGTGATGATATCCCGTTTTCTATAGACGGTAATTCCACTACAAGTTACGTTTTCTATGGGTAACTTGTTTATACAACACAGCTATAATCTGTATGATTATTAAATGGTGTCGGATTTTCCGACAGTTCAATCCCCAACAGTCAAAGTGGTTGGGCATCACTCCTTCCCTCTGTCCTTTCTCAAATCCTTATCTGCATCCCTCCCAAGTACTATATAGTCCTTTATAGCTAATTACCTTACCTTACCTGTTCAAAGAGGACCTTAATAAACCGAAGTACTGTATGGATTTCTTGTCCTCATCAGCAGAAATTCAGTCTGGGGATGAGCTATGAAAACACTCATTAAAGACTAATGCCAATTCATTTACAGATACCTGTGACTTACCCAGCAACTGCTCCCGAGATAGCATTACCTGAACTGGATGGGAAGACGGCCAAAATGTATCGAGGAGGACGTATCTGCCTTACAGATCATTTCAAACCCCTTTGGGCTCGAAATGTTCCGAAATTTGGTATCGCGCATGCCATGGCACTTGGGGCAAGTATCAATTACCCTTAACCTTTTATTTTTTGTTCCTTGGAAGCAAGTGTTTGCTGATTGCTTATGCCTCCAAAATATAGAAAAATGGCTATTCTCCTCAAACTTTTCTTTGACATTTGCCTGAAGACAGCTTAGGGAAGAAGTCTTGAAGGTATCTAAATATTTACTGATAAAGTTTACTGATTATAAAGACAGTATTGGCCAAAACTACAGTAAGAGACTATGAATTGGAGATTACTTTGTGGTGAACAGATATTGAAATTTCACTGAGGAACTCCATTGATAAAACAGTACTGGAATCATACAAGTTTTTATTGTTTATGAAAAGGTTATTAACTCAGTTAGGGATCTTTTAATTCAGATTCTTTATGTACTTAGTTAATTACTGGGTTGTATATTCCAGTATGGGGGGTACCCAAGTTTGTGAAAATCTCTTGGTAATGTAATCCTACACTTTGAAGCTGTAATGTACTTCTCATTTTTATTGTGTGAATGTTATGATTTTCTTAATTGAATGTTATTTTATATAAATTATTTGCCGACTTCATTTTCTTTATTCTGACAGCTTGGTCCATGGCTCGCTGTTGAAATTCCTGACATGATCCAGCGAGGAGTTGTTACTTACGCCGAAAAAAAGGCATAACATCAGCTTGCATTACAGTACTGTATTTTGATTTTGCTTGTACTTGTGTAGTGTTATCAAATGAGTTTGAGATAGGAGGAGCAGAAAGGCTGGAAAATAAAGACAAGGTATGTGTAATATGAAGGAGTAATTTGATGTGAAATGCACAAAAAATGTGGTAGATAATAAAACTGGCCAGATCAGAGACCGGGCGACAGGGACGTTGCTCCCTAGAATCGACCCCAGGTAGACAGCACAGTAGTCGTTTGTGAAGAGCGTTAATATATATAACGAACTGGGATCGGTGTTCATTTAGTTTTGGGAAATTGTGGATTGCTGCTGTGGATAATTTAGTGTGGTAGTGCTGTTCCTCCTTAATTCCATTTCAGGTGTTCGATACTTTGAATTGCTGTACTTTATTTTTATATGCGTACGAGATGGGGGGGTAGCCGACAGTGCCCGGGTCTCTCCTTCCATTTGTGTATCTCTTACTCTCCCTCCCTTCACTCAATGCAATGTGATTTCATTATTTTTAAAACTAGTAGTGAATTCTATGGACTAAGAACTTTTTACATTCACTGAGTTCGTCAAGGAGCAAGGGGACTGTGTACCCCTTCAGATGGGCACTGGGGTGACCTCTACCCCCTGTGACAATAGAATCATTTATCCTGCAAAGTCCTGTCTGCAACCTCAGACATTCTTTTCATCTTGCCTTTCATCTTTTCATCTGTTTTCCTATACCGTCTGTTATCTGCTCTGGCTTGATGACTCCTCTGCCTATCAGCATTGGAAATGGGAGTATTGGTAATGAATGGTTTTGGTTGCTCTATCCTTTTACACAAGGTAAGAAAGCATTAAAAAAAAAAACCTCATTGTACTGTATTCGGTACTGAAATTGTTAAAGCTTAGGACTAGTGATTCCGAACTTATTTTGGGGGGGGGGGGCTCACTAGCTCTAGTGGAATCCTTGAAATATTTTGTAAACTCTTGACAAGGGTAAATCACAATGTGTAAAGCAGTACAGTGGTACCTTGGTTTTCAAATTTTATCCGTTCCCAGAGACTGGTCGTAAGCCAAAAATTTGCAACCCGAAACAAATTTTCCCACAAGAAATAATGTAAATTGAATTAATCCTTTTCACACTCCCAAAAATATTAACTTCTAAACTAAATACATTTCATACATAATACACACAAATATTTTGTTCTTAGTATGTACAAGTTCTAGCCTACTTTTATTGATGACTTGTTGGGCACCATTCAACTCAGCACAACTCCATAGTCTCCTATGACTGATGGATGCCTACTACTGTTGGTGTATGGAAGACGGGGGAGGGGGGGGGGGGGGTGTTGTGTTTGGAAGGGGAGTCCCCTTCCATTATGACATCAGGCAATGATGACTTCTCTGGTGTACCTATGTTTTGCAAGCATACCACTAGGACCTGGTTGTGGCTGTCTGCTTGCTTGTCTTACTAAGAATCTGTCCAAAGACATTTGTCTGTAGTGAGACATCACATTGTCATTTAAAAGGTCAATGCAACTGCCTGCTACAGCTTTATCTGGGTGATCTCTCTGCATTCCTCTCTCATGCTGTCTAAACTCGATTATGGTTGCCCTGCTTACTCTTGTGCTTCTCCTTCTACTCTTCGCCGTCTTGATCCTTAGCACCATACTGGGTTGCGCCTCAGCTCTGGTGCTTTTCGTTTGACTCCTACCCTCAGTTTGTACGTTGACACTGGCTTCCTGTCTCTCCAGGACCGCCGAGATCGCTACTGTCTTCGCTACCTTGCACGGTCCTTACAACACCCTCACTTTCGCCTGTGTCGTGCTTTGACTTTTCCCCCTCCTGTAGTTCCTGTTCCCCTTCACCACCACCTCTTTCTGTTTGATTGTTTCAGCTGCAACATTCTCTTTCGGTTAGTATTATTAATATTTCTCCTTGTGTTGTTCCGTCCTTGCCCCCGTGGAGGGTCCCCAGTCCTCGATATTGCAAATCCCTGACCCACATCACTAAAGCTTTTATCCCTCCTACAGTTCTGAAATGCCTTTTCCTTGAACACTTTTCTTCACATTCCCGCTCAGTTTCCATCTTCACTGATGGGTCTAAGTCTGCAGACGGTGTAGGTTACTGTTGTTTTTCCGGACCACACCTATGTGTCGCCTGCCTTCGGAGACTAGCATCTTCACAGCAGAACTTTATGCTATTCTCTATGCTCTTCGTCTCCTGCTTTCTCGCTGTCAATCCTCCTTTGTGGTTGTAGTCGACTCTCCCAGTGCCCTCATGGCTCTGGAGTACTTTAATCCAGTCCATCCTGTGGTCGTCGAGATTCAACATTGGCTGTTTCTTATCTCCAGTAGATTTAAGACAGTTGAGTTTTGCTGGGTTCCCAGCCATATTGATATCTCTCTAAATGAGCGTGCGGACGCTGCCGCTAAGGAAGCTATCCGCACTTGTCCCATCTCCTGTAAAGTTATTCCTTATTCTGACTTTTACCCAGTTATTCATTCCTCCGTCCTTGTTTTGTTGGTCTTCTGTTACTGGTAACAAACTGCGTACTCTTAAGGGTAGTGTGTCCCTGTGGCCTTTTCCTACCACCGTAACTGGCAAAAGGAAACAGCTCTGGCAAGGCTGCGTATTAGCCATACGCGCTTAACTCGCTATGGAGCACCGCCCTGCTCCTTATTGTCTTAACTGCATTGTCCCTCTTACAGTTGTGCATATCCTTGTCAAATGTCCTGACTTCCAGGACAAGCGTGTGTCTTGCTTTCCAACCGTCCCCCCGCGGTCACTTTTCCCTAGATAGAATTCTTGGTGAATCTTTTGAAAACTTTTGATATCGTTCGCCTTATGCGTTTCTGTACTCATATTGGCATCCTCAGTGATATTTAGCGCCCTTTGATTATTCTGCACATTTCATGGTGCTACATAGCCTTCCCGGCTTGGTGCCTTCTTTGATAATTACTTTATCTGGGTGAGTTTTTTCAACAAAACTTTGCAGTTCGTGCCATACTTCACACATTTTCTTAATGAGGAAGGGACATCCTCTATTGCCTCTACTCATAACTATTTTCTTAGGTTGAACCTTATCACCGACTTTCTTGGGACTAGTGGCATAATATATAATAATTTTGTTTATGTTCATAAACCAAAAAAAGTCCCAAAATATGAAATTCTTAAGCGTGCAGCTCTTGTTAACCGAAGCAAGATTGCCTGTGCCACCAGGAACCACACGCTCGGTTGACCCATACATGTATCAACAAAAGTCGCAACGCGAAGCAAAGGTCGTAACCCGATTTGAATGTTCTGACGAAATTGCATTTGTAACTTGAAAAATTTGTAAAGAGGGACGTTGGTATGCCGAGGTTCCACTGTACTGTTAATAAATAATAATTAGCTCTTACTTTTGAATAAAATATTACAAGTATTTATTGCCTTTCTATTTATTGTCAATAAAAAATTGGCAAACATTTTCAATTTGACATTTGGCTTACTGGGTACATTGTGTATTTTGTAATGATTGTTAACTTTACAAAAAAGTTATATTAATGAAAAAAAAAGTTACGTTTTGTTTTATAATCCATTCACAATTGAAAACAATGTGTCAGTAGAATAACATTAATTCTGTCTTCTTATTGTGAAATTTAGGCATGATTATTTGAACGACTTATAGCTCTGCAGCCAAGAGAAAAGGCCGAAGTAATATTTGACAATTACCGTTTGTAAGATGATTTCCTCCCAAAATTTGTTTGAATGATACGGGTTTGTACACATCACAATATTTTCCTAAGGACCTTATATGGTGGTGATCACCGTATTTAGGTATTCATAAATATATGGCAAGTATGCCAGTTTCAGGAGCCGCTGTTCATCTCCTAAGTAAGTCTTGCTGCTTAAATAATAACTGGCATCAATATCAATCTGCAAATCTTTCAAATTGCTTCTATTTTTTATTAATAGACCATGTTAAAACTTAAATAATTTGGTTTGCTTCAAGCTTTTGAAACTTTTTGAAGCTTCAACTAAACCCAAAGTAGATCAGTGAAGTTAAGCAACATTGGGTTTGGTTAGTATTTGGATGGGGTGACAGCCTTGGAACACCAAATGCTGTTGGCATTAAATTTATAGGGTAGAAATAGCTTAAGCTTCTCTATCCTCTTGAGTTGCTTCTTATTGTCTCAATAAACGTACTTGAGCTTTTGTAGATCTCTCGGAACCAGAGAGACGTGGTTGGGATAATGAAGAGATACCAGTGCAGCCCGTCCTCCAAACAAAGAGCCAAAAGTGATTCCATGCAGCCGCCAAACCCCCTGTTTATGAATGAAAAACGGTTAACACACGACTCATAACTGCTGACGTTCGAACATATCCGGAACAAGTGCTTCACCGACGAATTTTGTTCGAATCGCAACGCTATAAAGGCTTCACCCACGTACTACAAATACAAATAATCGCCAACAGAACCTAAACACCTAACCTAACCTATCCTATGCCTATATATACACAATATGCTAATATATTATAATATTAATTTATACTTGAGAAATTTCCTGTTTTGAATGAACAGCATGTTAACATTTATGAATGCGTCTGTGGGGTTGACCGCTGAATGTAATGGACTTGAGTCGAGGACGGGTTGACCAGTGCTAGCAATTGAATGTTCTGAAGCTAAAATAAGCTACTAAAAATGTATGGTGCTACATAATCTTTCTGACTTGGTGCATCATTAGTGATATTTAGCGCCTTTTGAATATCCCGCACTTTTGATGGTGCTACATGGCCTCCCCGGCTTGGTGCCTTTTTTTTTATAATTGCCTTCTTCCTGACTTGGTGCCTCACTTTGATAATTACTTACTAAAAATGGATAACTAAAAAAAATTCCTAAATTTTATTTGTTTATAAACAAATTTTGTTTATAAATGCTAATAACTTACAGGCGATTTCTAACATTAGAGAATATATTTAATTTACAATGTACAGCAGTTTATAGCAATTACTAAATTCATATAAAATGTGCTTGTGTACCAGCAAATACTGTACTGTTAAACATGTGTGGGTATACTAGCACAGCAGAAAAAAACACAAAAAAGTATGGCATAAAAAATATACCCTGACATACTAAAAACAGCAGAGATAGCACCACTCCATAAAGGAGGAAATAAGGCAGAGGCAAAAAATTACAGACCGATAGCACTAACATCGTAAAAATCTTTGAGAGAGTGCTAAGAAGTAAGATCACAAAATACATGGAATTACAGCACCTCCAAAACCCCGGACAACATTGGTTCAGAACAGGGCGCTCTTGCCTGTCGCAGTTGCTGGACCACTATGACATGGCATTAGATGCTATGGAAGACAGACAAAATACTGATGTAATTTACACAGATTCCGCAAAAGCCTTTCACAAATGTGACCATGATGTTATTGCACATAAAATGCGTTCAAAAGGAATTACCGGAAAAATAGGCAGATGGATCTACAATTTCCTAAAAGAACCCAATGTGTAATAGTCAATAAAATAAAATCTGGTCCATCAACCGTGAAGAGCTCAGTCCCCCAAGGTACTGTGCTTGCTCCAGTACTTTCTCTCTCTTCATATCGGACATAGATAAGGACACAATCTATAGTACTGTACAGTATCATCCTTTGCAGATGACACTAGGATTTTCGTGAGTAGACAACACAGAGGACACGACAAACCTCCAATCAAACGTAAATCAGGTCTTTGTATGGGCTACAGAAAATAATATGGTGTTTAACTAAGATAAGTTCCAGCTCGTGCGCTACGGAAAAAATGAAAATATAAAAACGGAAACCACGTACAAAACTCGGTCAAATCATAACATAGAACGAAAAGGCAATGTAAAAGATTTGGGTGTACTCATGTCGGAAGACCTTACCTTCAAAGAACACAAAATAGCCGTCACAACTGCAAGAAAAATGACAGGTTGGATAACAAGAACCTGTCTCACTAGAGATGCTATACTGATGATACTTTTCAAGATGCTAGTGCTCTCTAGAATGGAGTACTGCTGCACAATGACAGCCCATTTCAAAGCTGGAGAAATTGCTGACCTGGAGAGCGTGCAGAGATCCTTTACTGCTAGAATCCACTCGAGTAAAACATCTAAACTACTGAGACCGACTAAAGAGCCTAAATCTGTATTCTCTTAAGCGCAGGCGGGAGAGATACATAATAATTTATATGTGGAAAATATTAAAGGGGCTGGTCCCAAACCTCGCACACAGAAATAACATAACATGAGACCTGAAGGCATGGCAGGATGTGCAGAATACCCCCGTTGACGAGCAGAGGTGCAACAGGTACTCTGAGAGAGAACTCTTATTAACATCAGAGGCCCGAGACTGTTGAACACGCTTCCAATACACATAAGGGGCATAACTGGCCGACCCCTCACAGTGTTCAAGAGGGAACTGGATAAGCACCTCCAAAGGATACCTGATGAACCAGGTTGTGATTTGTACGTCAGACTGCGACCAGCCGCGTTCAACAGCCTGGTTAACCAGTCCAGCAACCAGGAGGCCTGGTCGATGACTGGGCCGCAGGGACGCTAAGCCCCGGAAGCACCTCAAGGTAACCTCAAGGTAAAGTAACAGCCAAGTCCTCCTCTGAGGAAGACTGAACTTGCAAAATGAACACTATTGAAATGTTCAATTTAATAGTTTTCTTTATAAATTTTTGCACCTTAAATACAAAAGATATTTTACTCACATAAGGTGTCTTCTTTTGATAATTACAGTACTTTACTCACATAAGGAGATTGGGGTTGGGGATAGTTATATGTAATCCTTTTCCCATGATAGTCCGACGTGTATGATTTACAAAAAAAGATAGTTCTGCACGAATCCAATTTATTATTGGTATAAAAGTTTCTGAACTTCTGCCTCACATTCGGTATCATAATGTTCTAGATTCGATCTGGATTTGCTTGAAATTTGGGTTTCCAAAAAATGGCTTTTCATTGGCATTACTGATGTGCTATATATATTGTATTCCCAAGATTTTTGTTTATTGGGAATTATATATTTGTATGATTGAATATGCTGAATCACACATACGATTACTTTGCAAACAAATAATTATGCAAAAAAAAAATGCTTATCATTTTGTAGCACAGGCTACAAAATTTGGTCTTGATAACACATGCTGTAAAGTGCAGTTTCATTTCTGCATCATGCTGGCTGTTGAATTTCTGCTATCACTCTGAACTGACCTTGAAGTTCTTAAGATGCACAAAGACACGAGTGTGTGTGTGTGTACACCTGCTTACCTGGTTGATGGAGTTCTGGGAGTTGTTCTACTCCCCAAGTCTGGCCTGAGTCCAGGCTTGACTTGTGAGAGTTTGGTCCACCAGGCTGTTGCTTGGAGCGGCCCGCAGGCCCACATATACCTGGTTGATGGGGTTCTGGGAGTTGTTCTACTCCCCAAGCCTGGCCCGAGTCCAGGCTTGATTTGTGAGAATTTGGTCCACCAGGCTGTTGCTTGGAGCGGCCTGCAGGCCCACATATACCTGGTTGATGGAGTTCTGGGAGTTGTTCTACTCCCCAAGCCTGGCCTGAGTCCAGGCTTGACTTGTGAGAGTTTGGTCCACCAGGCTGTTGCTTGGAGCGGCCCGCAGGCCCACATACCCACCACAGCCCAGTTGGTCCGGCACTTCTTTTAGAAAATTTGTTTTATCTTTATGTCCACAGTTGTTCCCACAATATTTCTTATACTCACTGGGAGTATATTGAACAACTGTGGACCTCTGATGTTTATACAGTGTTCTCTGATTGTGCCTATGGCACCCCTGCTCTTCACTGGTTCTATTCTATTCTCTATTTTACAGTCTCCGTGGTGTAGTGGTAAGACACTCGACTGGCGTTCGGCGAGTGCTTTGTCATGGGTTCGTATCCTGACCGGGGAGGATTTACTGGGCGCAAATCCTTAACTGTAGTCTCTGTTTAACGCAACAGTAAAATGTGTACTTGGTTGTAACAACAAGTCTTCGCGGCGGGGATCGTATTCCAGGGATCTGCCCGAAACGCTACGCGTACTAGTGGCTGTACAAGAATGTAACAACTCTTGGTTATATCTCATATCTCTCTCAATTCTGCATTTTCTTCCATATCATTCACTCCAGTATGTTGTTATTTTACTGTGTAGATTTGGGACTTGGCCCTCCAGTATCTTCCATGTGTATAATATTTGATATCTCTCCCGTCGTCTTTCTAGCGAGTAATTTGGAGAGCTTCGAGACGATTTCAATAATTTAGGTGCTTTATCGCTACAGTATGTAGTGCTACAATATAATAGGTACACTTGTTGCATGTAAACCCGTTACTGGCACAGCCTTGATGTCGTCAAACCAGCTCCTTTGCTGCGATTGTGTCTGGGCTCGTACTACAACCCTTCCTTCTGTTTTCGTAACTATGTGCACTGTCATACATGTATTGATATAATGGACACTTAATAGAATTTGGTACTATAGTATTCACTTAGTCTGGGCAAAATAAAGCTAAAACTCAGACGTATATTCAAGGCCTTAGATAACATATATTAGGCCTAGGATAGTTACATTAGGTTTAGTTTTATTAGCAACAAATAAAGAACTTTTCCCAGTTTGTCCAAATTTAATAGTACCGTACCAAATTCTACTTTCTAATTGTCCATCAAGTCAATATACATACTATGGTCCATATCGTTACTATAAGTACTATGGAAACAGGAGGATGGGCTGCATACTAACGTACCACCCAGGTAAGATTCAAATACTAGCAGTAAGAACCAAATAGTTGTGTGAAGGTGGGCCTGTTTGGGGACTGGGCCGTGAGGACGTTGAGCCCCGAGATCATCGCAAGATAAGGTCATCGTATACCCCCTAGTACACTATAAACTTATTCGCATAGTAAGCAATTATAAAATGCTGTAATCAGAAATGTCTAGGTATGGGCTCACTATAGCCCGTGCTACATGGATATTTCTTTGAGTAGCTAAATCTAAAACAACAACAATGTAATCAGATTTTGTCATTGGTCTGTTGGTTACATCCACATAGAACTGTAATGCCCCATGTAATATTGCAACTGGTATATAAACCAAGCAACAATAACCAGTGTAGTCATGTGAGTGTCGTAGTGGCCAGAAAATCAGCACATGATGATGACTGCACTTTTGAGGCTTAATAGCTCAACCTTCTTATCCATGGTGAAGTTCCTCGTTCTCTTGTTCGAGTTATCTCGCACTTCTATTGCCGGACGACATTGCTTCAATTCAAATGTTGTATAGGAAGAAAAGCTAGTGAAAATGCATAACGAGAAGTCATACACTTAACTGGTATCAAGTTTATTATACAGGAACTTGTACAGGTGACATTTTAAATGATTAGAATACCACTCGACCAGCCTGAATACATATCAAATGGGTTTGATAACGCAGTATCAGATTGTAAGGTTTAGGAATTCAAGATATTTGAGTTGCATGCTATTACATTAATTTTGTTTAAAAACAATGGGTTCTAACCCAGTTATCGTATAAATGATATTTGGATAAACCACAATGTATGTTGCCTTCACAGAAGGTGTAAGTTAATATAGTGGAAGAGATGCAGATATACACGGCACAATCTATAGTATTTACACAGAGAACCTCTAAAATACACATGACTTTCAGAACTCAAAAGTTTCTGATAAAACCTATGATTAAGATGCACAGTGAAATTGCAAAAATGTGATATGAGAAAATCACATACTGAAGCCGTGCAATAGGATCAAATCTACGTTCCTGAGTGTGTGTACCCAAGGAGTTCAGGGATATGGGTTCACCCATTGAATGGCTTCAGTATGTTATGATTAATATATATATTAACAACATGGATTAACCCTCATGCTATTGCCCACATACTTTTCGATTACCTTTTGTTGGTTCCGAGGCTCAATGTTCCTGTAGCCTGGTATCCAACCAGGCTTCGTGGTTGGTGGCAAGTCCAGATCACTAGCATTCTTTCTAGACATTATATAACGATGTCTCGCCCTTCCAGCTCTAAGTGTTCACAAAGCTACCACACAAATGACCGTGAATGCAGTACAATATTACCAAGACTTTGCAAGACCTGGAAGATCTTTGTGATAATGAACATACAGCATCACAAATATTGAACTTAAATATTGCTCATCAGATGATGAAATAAGGAACTAATACCAAGCAGAGGGAAGGAGTTATAAATGGCATGCATGAAGATGCACCACCAACAGTCATTCTTTTAGTTGCCAAGTGCAGAAAACGTAGTGCTATATGATACAGATTCAAATGAAAATGTCAATGCTTGCAACAAGTGTGGATTGGTGGAAACAATTAGCCACTGTTGGGGGGAAACAAATTCTACTAGGCTTGGTGAGGTTTCTAGTCACAAATTGACCATTCTCCCAGGATATGAATCACAACAGTTTAACTTTCAGGCACATAGTTACTGAAGGGAGAAGAGAAGCAGCAATGTATGGAAATTGCATCCCTTACCAACCTGAAAATTGAAACCAGAACAAATTGGTTGAGCCTACTGTTACAGGTTATCAAGTGGAGCAAATTTTGTGCTACATACTACAAAATGTGACGAGATGTGGTTCATATGATGATTGTGTGGAGGCTGTGTTGGGGGTTCAATGCCTGATAGGTGATTTTATTAGGGGGAGTGGCAATTATTAGGAGAAAGTGACAAGCTATTACAACTATATGGTACTTGAAAGGGATCAGGTTCAGGATTTGGGATGGGATAAGAGTAATGAATGGTGCCAACCATTTGGACACTTGGGAATTGAACGCTGACCCGCACAAAGCGAGACCATTGCTCTATTGTCCAGCCCAAGTCGTTGGGCTGGATGATAGTGCAATGGTCTCGCTTTGTGCAGCATATTAGTAGAGAAAATGTGCTACAAAGCCCTCACTTTGATGAAAACCAAGCCGGTGAATCACAGGAATGTAGTGTTATTGGTGTAACTTAGGAGTGTACGGGGCAGAGTATTGAACGAAGGAAAACGAAAAAGCTAGGTTACATAACATAGGGATTGGTGTGCCTATGCATTGTTTCAATTATTTATGTAGGTTATTATACACATTTAGTAATATCTAAAAATGTTCCTTCAATCACCGTTTCATCACAGCCAAACTATGGAAAGTCGACATTTTATTCATGCATGTATGTACAGTACTGTGTATTTTTATTTTGCAAGCATTTCTTCCATTTATAGAAAAAACTTTGCCACAGAGCAGCCAAAAAATACATAGCCACAGCATGAGGGTCAAAAGGTACTGTAACAATGAAGTTTGATATTTTTTTTAAGGATCTGTATAGTGAAAATATGGCTTCACTATTTAGACCCTGTTGAGCAGTTTATCTTTACCTATTGCATACCATTTTATCTCTACAAAATTCTGGATACAATATGAAAGGGCATTGTGGTTTTAATTACAGCTGTACATTATTTCAAAGACCATAACCAAAAATGAATATAAAATAAAATGAGATCTCAGGTAGATTCGGCTGTAAATTGTGATGTTGTACTAAGAGATGTCTGTTGTCCACAAGTGTGTGCCAAGAGGGCATTTCTCTTGTCCACATTCTCACCAGTTAAAGGTTACAAATGGGATAAATTTACCCTATATGTTTGAGAGAGTAGCAGTGAGAACTCTACTTAAAAAGTTGATTGGATGCAGCAAACACTGGCTGCAATCCAATGGGGGGGATTGTATCCCCCTATTGAACTTAAATGGGGAATACTTGTTAACATCAGCTATAACAAAATGAAACGAGGTGATTGTACTGCACCTTTTTGTTCAGAAGTCACAATACCTAATCCTTCTATCAAGGATATTAACACAATTTTAAGTGGCCTATTATGTGTAATATGAAAATATATTTTGATATGACACGTACAGTATTGCATCTATTATCTTTTGAATCTATACAGTGTATATCTGTAACAATCTCGAGTACAAAAGCATTACTGTATATCATCAACTGCTTTGACAAAAGCCGAATACAAGAAACCATTTATGAAGCATGTTAAATGCAGACGTGAGTACTGTAACTGTCGGGAACAATGTGAAGCATCAGGTTGGTTACCTGTTTCTTGTTAGATGTAATGGAGTTGTGATTAGCCTCATATATATTTATTATCCTTAAGCATTTTTTTTTTTTAACATTTTTCAATTTACTCCTGTTAAAAATTATAATGATCAATCTTGTGAAGGACTTCGACTATTCCTCAAAAATATGGTAGTTGATGAAATGGCTCGGACTGGAGATGGGCGACCATTTACCTGTTCCTTGGGTTTTTCTGTACTGCCAGCAGCAGGTGGGGTAGCTTCACGACTAGAACACTCGTCTGCATCTACATAGCTGGTATTTAGCTTTAGAGTATAAGATGCACTGGCTGATGTTGGAGTGTCCTCAGATGTGTCCTTTGTAGTGTGATCTCTGTTTTTAATTGTATTGTTGTCTTCCATTTCACAGGTGTCTTTGGCTGTTGAAATATCTTCTGAAGTTTTTGTCTCTCCAGTCAAGTTTTTCTTCTCTTTGTAAGTTGCAGATATTTCCAGAGAACATGTTTCTGCTTCGGGAGAATTTTCCTTTGTTTGTGTAGCGGAACAACTCTCATCTGCTGCACTGTTGTCACTTGTAGACTTTTGTTTGTCTTCAGATGTAAATTCTTTCTTTTCCTTCTTTTTAGTCTTTATAGTGCGGGATTTTGACTCTTGAGAAATTGCTGAGGGCTTTAATCTTCCATGGCGTCCACGTTTCATGGTTGCAAGAATGCTCTTCATCTCCTGGACAGCATCAGCGGGCTTTTCTTTCAACTCGGGATCTGTCTTCTTGCTGATATATCCAATTCCATATGGTTTGGTCGACTTCAACTTGACTCCTCCTTGCTTAATTTGATTGATGAGATCATCCATTCCACCCCCTTTGCCTCCATTATCTGCAATTTTTATTTAATTCTAAGATTATATCAATGTGCACATTAATAACCCATTTATTGTCCCGAATCAGTGAAGGATTATATAATACAGTATAGTATTATTACATTGTTATACGCAATGACGAAGTTTAATTTAGTGGCACAATAATTAGGAGTACTTTTGTGTGCATTATATTTAAGAAAAGATGAAATGTATAAAGTTCCATTCTGTGGCCGAGGGAAGTTAGACTATACGTAGTGCTTTGAACATGCTACCTAGAGTGCTGATGCTTGGAGTATGGAAATAAAGAATTTGCCAATTCCAGTACATTTCATATTTGAACTAAACTCAAGATCATAGAGTTAAAACTCTTACTGAATGGGTTGGTTCAAGGACTTGGGGTGATACCTTCATTCCTAATATAGTTATTTAGCCATCAGAAACTAGTAATATGACAAAAGTAACCAACAACAGCAACAAAAAAAGCATCCTACACAAAAAAATATAAATTATCTTCAAGACAAAATTCCTTGTACTGTATTTTAAAGATTAGATTAGAAGGATCTGTTGAAACCACCACACAATTTAATTATTAAGCAAGATGGTAAAGAACACTACTAGGCATACAGTATATTGAAATGCCCCAAAAGCATCGTCTTAATTTATTGATTGACCAATAATAGACTGGTAGCAAAGCAATATTCAAGTCATTGATGTCAGACTAAGTGTCGTAGGAAAAACCAATGCCCTTTAAATAAAAAAATATGGTACAGTATATGGATTAGACCTCATCTATTCTAAGCTGAATTAAATACAGAGTAATGTAACAAAGTTTAAAATAGAGAATTTTGTTAGGAGAACAACAACAAACACGTTAAGTGTGTTGCCAACTTAATGGAAACATAACTAACCCCATTAGTTATTTTATTCATATAAAATAGAAACAGTCTTAATATGCATCCATTTTCAAATTTGCTTATACAGTAGATACTAAGCTGTATCTAAATCTTGCTCCTGCATTATTTGTATGTTACGATATGGCATTAGAAAATCTGAAGTATTACATACATTACAAAATTGTAATAGCAGAAGCCCAGCAAGGAACTTTAATATAGAACAACTAAAAAATTTATATTGAACAAGGAAGTGGATGCATAAATCCCTATCACATTGTTATAGGTTTCTTTGTATGTAACGAAAGGAAAGACAACTAAGTTTGATGCTGGGAATGTCAGAAGTTCAGAGAAATTTGTGTGTCTTTTAGCTAGCTACATGCATGATACAGTTTCTGTTGTTGGGGATAAAAAGCCTGTGAGGCTTATCAAGATCTACCTTGCCTAACGACTGATCTTCCCCCATGATGCAACCCAGAACAGTTGTCCGACTCTCAGGTACCTGATGATGAAGAGTGATGAAGATTAAGCCACCTAAAAGGTGGCACGGGCATGAATAGCCCGTAAGTGGTGGCCCTTTTGAGCCATTACCAGTATCAATTGATGATACTGGAGATCTGTGGAGGTGCAACTGCACCCTGCGTGACGGGAGATGTCTCCTGTGTCAGGTACCTATTTGTTACTTTGTGAACTGTGATCATTGAGTGTGAACAGATGAAACAGACTGCAACATCAGCACAGGCATGCATACACAGTTGCCTTTTGTAATGGGACAATACTTTGTCCCATTACCATTACAAAAGCATAAAGTTGCTCAGATAAACCATTAAAGAAGATAGACACAAGTTCTGATAGCTTACCTGAACCATTTGCTTCCTTATCTTTTCTGTTTTGTTTGGAAGCGCCTATTAAGGTAGCTAATGTAGTTACTGGGTTGGCTGGTGGTGGTGGTGGCGGCGGCGGTGGTGGTGGAAGGGGACCTGTAGGAGGTGGGGGAGGGGGTGGTGGAGGTGGTGGAGGAACAGACATCGGAGGAGGTGGAGGAGGGGGTGGCGGAGGAGGTGGAGGAGGAGCAGGAATCCCTGGTTGAGACTCTAGCACGGTGCTAGGCCTGCTGAGTGACAATGGTTCCAACACATCAGGTGATGTTTTGCTGTGGTAAAGATTGTTGATACTGTTGCTACTTGAACTTTGTTGGAGCAATCTTATTTGACGTCGTTGCTCCTCGGCTGCAAAAAATTGTAAGGTAGGAATTGTAAGCCATCGTCCAGCAATTCGTGAGTATACATTACAAGGCAAAATGTAAATTTTAACAAATTGCAATATCAAAATTTCTATTTTCTCAAATATGTTGCTATTACATACTGTAATAGAATGTGTTGAATTGCTCAGCCTAACTTAGGTTAGGCCCTGTTGGCAATTATTAGTATTTGCAGTATGCAGATGAAGCATTTAGAGAGGTGTGATTCAATTTGAGCAGAGAATGTGAATGAAACACTGAGAAAAGTACAGACATCACCAGTTGTGACTAGTGTGTAGGGTATTGTACAGTCATAAACAGGGTGTTGGAGGGTGGATTAAATGAGCATTTGGTCTTTGTTCATAAGAACAGGTTGCATCAACGCTTAAAAGATTCTTCATGTATTAAAAAGTATGAACACAGGGCAAATGCCACCGAACTTTAGAGGCTAATATTATCAAAACGTAATACTAAACTACACTTTTATGCTGTCTTATATCACACAATCCATGTTTTGTTTCAGTACTTTTAAATATAAAATTGTATTCAAAGAAAGGTCCACTTGACAGTTTCAAGTGATGGATATAAATGACACAATAAGAGATGCTTAGTATCAAAAGAAGGCACAAAGTCTGGAAGTCTATTTAAGTAAGATACACTTAACAAAAGGTTAATACAAACTATAACCTTGAGTAAGGAATACTAAATGTTTGGCGTGACTGTATGTGCTTTTGCTTGCGTTAATATCTTAACCATTAAACACAGACTGGGAGATTCTGCTTAAATCAATGATTCTTTACTGAAGATAATGTCCTATAAAGTAATTTGTTGAGTATAGTATTTCTATTATGTACTAAGATGATTGAAAATGTTTTATACTTTTTTTTTTTTTGCCTACCTTCTTTTCGAAGTTTTTTCAATTCAATCTTTGCTTCATCACCTTTGTGTTCTTGTTCTCTCACTTCCTCCTCCAACAATAAAACGCGTTCTTTTAGAAGTTCAACCTCGGCCGCTTTTTCACCAGATTCATATGCAAGTACTTCGGCCTGAGTGATTACAATTATTCAAGATACATATTGTACAAATGATAAAATTTGGGGTTTTTAATTGGAAGATTAAGTGGCTGATATGCAGTGTAAGTAGATGTTACACAAAAATATTTTATGTGAATGACCCACTTCCATACATGAAATTAAAGCGACTACTTATCAGTCCATCCTGGACTTTCAGGTCAAAACACCTATGTTATCATGATTTGATAAGGGTCAAGGTTGGACCGAAATGTCATCACTTTCATTTCATGTGTGTTGGTTAGGTTATTTGTTCTGGCCTTGTTATTGTGACATTCACCTGCATGGTATCCAAAGCTCACATCAGAAAGTGTTCTGGCCTTGTTATTGTGACATTCACCTGCATGGTATCCAAAGCTCACATCAGAAAGTGAATAAATGACAATGTTTTGCTCTGTCCTGGACCATTAATAAGTTGTATCATAGTCCACGATGGACTGAAATGTTGTCGTTTCTGCATTTTCTGATGTGCGGTTTGGATATCATATCTACAGCTATGTTATTGTGACTCATCATCTGCATTCCCCAGCATATCTTACTATTCTCTTTCCAAAACCAGGTATTTAAACAGAAATACTGCCCAAGCACTTGGGGTGGACGGTAGAGCGACGGCCTCATTTCATGCAGGTCGGCGTTCAATCCCTGACCATCCAAATGATTGGGCACCATCCCTTCCCATCCCAAATCCTTATCCCTTCCAAGTGCTATACAGGCTTTTCACTTTTTCCCTGATAGTTCCCTTGTAACCATAAATACCTTGAGCTTCTGCAATGATTGTTTGTATTCTTCTTCTTGTGTGTGAAGCTTCTGGGTAAGACTCTGCACTTCCTCCATTGCCATGCATAGCCTCTCATCCCCCATCACGTCTGCCAACGCAACGGCACTCTGACGAGCCAGAGCAGCACGCTCACTACGGGCCTGTTTAAAAAGAGAGAAAATATCACATGTTTGATACTGTCTTAATTGGGGATACTATCTTGTCAAATAGTGTATGTTTAAAACTAACAATTTGGGAAAGAAGGAATGAATTATCAGGAGAAAGTGCCAGTTTGCAACTATATAGCACTTGGAATGGGGCAGGATAAGGATTTGGGATGGGAAGGGGGGAAAGGAATGGTGTACAATTTGGGAGCCAAGAAATGTCTACAGATAGAAATTTAGCTTAAATTGTCAATTTATAAATTTGTTTAAATTTAAAAATTTATTTAATTTATAAATTTGTTTAACCAAAACGATATCATCTAAAATGGCTGATTTTACTATTACTGTACATTCTTTTACTTGATTAGGCCTACAGTCCACACTTTTTAATCATGTTTGGTTTGTGCAGCTCAGGTTACCGAAGAAAAGTCTGGATTAGTACACTCACAACCAACAGTGATAACCCAACTTTGTTGTATCTTTGAGCAAAATTAATATTGAAGGTGAAGGAAAGCCTCAATATATGTATAAATGTACAGTACAGTAATAAAAACCAAATTTTTGAATACACTATATAACCTACATCTTTTCTCATGATATTATTGTATACAATGTTCTGCTTGAGGGGCCAGAATGGACCAAAACATCATCACTTTAATTTCATAATCATGTAGGGAGGTTTGGTTACTATCTTATTATTTAAATAAAAAAATTTAATCAATGAAAATAAAAAAACAAGAAAATTGAATCCATACCTTGGCTGCATCTGTAGCAGCTGTGTTTGCTCGAGCAGCCTCTGAACGCAGCTGGGCTTGGAGGGCTTCTACTTCGTCTAGAACTAAAACCGACACACGACCCATACGTCGCTCAACTGCTTCCAGTTCCGATATTCTTTTCTGTACAAATTTAGTGAAAATCACTTGCAAGGTTCATTTTAGGCATGGCCTTTAATGAACAAATTCACAAAGGCCGTGATGAGAGTTTGAACTTACGTTCGAGAGGATCCCAGACGCAGGTTCGAACCCTCATCACGGCCCTTGTAGATTTGTTCATTTGATGCATCACGCTATTGTGATTTCTGTGTGTAATGGCCTTTAATGCTTCAAAGCTTACAAGACAAAACTGTATAGACATTTTTTTACGTTTTGTCATGTTGCCATTCTCTTTTTCACTTGTTTATAATATATTTTACAATAATTAGAATAATTCTTACACATATAAGCCCAGATACTTTGTGCTTTGCATTTTTTTACATACCCATTAGTGTTAGCTGTGAACAATTACACATTAAATAAGAATGCCTCAAAATTTAAAAAAACACACACACAATAGAATAATAAGAGAAGAATTTCTGAGGAGCTTCATGTGTGAAGCGTGAGGAAGCTGTGGGAAGGAAGCGTGAGGAAGCTGTGGGAAGGAAGCGTGAGGAAGCTGTGGGAAGGCGATTTGATTGATTGATGAAGATTAAGCCACCCAAGAGGTGGCACAGGCATGAATAGCCTGTAAGATGGCAATTTGGTGACATATCTCTTATAAATAGTGGCAACAAGTCGGGGTGACCTGAAGCCAGTTGGGTGGTCGTGCCCTGAGGAACCACGGTGGTGAATCCTACAAGAGAACTGGTTGGGCAGGTGTACCTGATTGGCACCTGTCCCGAGACCTTTCTCATGCAAGTCAAGATTGAGAGGAGCCAATTAGTGATAGTTAAAATGAACTGTGTGGGTGACTTAGCAGCGTGCCATATTTTGATGTTGTGTGACAAGCGTCGCTACTCCATATTTTGCAGTAAGAGTTTGGTATACTGCTACATGTTGCTTGTTGTAGTGAGACTTACAATGCACCAATCACTGGAAGAAGGCTTCTTGTTCCCAACAAAGACACTACCAATAAAGGCCATCAGTACTATATTTTATTGTGCATTTTTCTACAGTATCAGTAATGTATGTTAAATGTTCACTCTTCTGTTTACATTGAATATTACTGCAGCAAATATCCTCACGTCTCACCTGAAGCTGTTCTGTCTGCTGAGTGGCCTCGTCTAGCTGTCTCCGAGTGTCTAATAATTCTTCTTGGGCTTCGAACTCCTCTTGTTTTGCCTTGTTTGCTTCAGCTGTAAGACTCGCCACATCCATTTCCAAGGCTGTGAAAGATAAGTGCTCCTTTATTAATTGCTTGCTATTAAGAAATTTGTAATATTACTAATATGAAATTTGTAATATTTAATATGTAATAACCTTCATATTAATATTTATTAAAAGTAGGATATTTGATGCAGGATGATTGATTCCATGCCCTGCACTTCAGCATGGAACAGAAATTAACTCATTTATTTTGCGAGATCAACTTGGGCTTTAATTGTTGGTAGTGAAATATTTTCATATTACATTTCTATCAGCTGAGAAAAAATCATTTTCTTTTAATAAAATGCTCAAACTTTAGATGGACATCTGTAAAATCTTAAATGTGACATAACTGCTTGTTGGGGACAGGAAGCCTGTATATAGGCTTATCAAGGTCCTCCCTAGGCCAGCTACCGACCTTTCCCAGGATGCAACCCACACAACTGTGACTTTTGGGGGTACAGTACCTATTTAAGCAGCATTAGGTGAAAAGAAACATATCCAACAGTCTGTCCTAACTGGGTATTGAACCTGGGTCCCTTGAGTGTGTGCAAGCATGTAGACTACACTGCTACAGGAGTTGTTACAGAAATTGACATTTTGATAGAACACAGCTGTACGATAAACAAAAAATGGTTTAAAATTTTTTAAATAAGAGTACTGTACATAAATAATTAACCTTTAATTTAATACCTTTAATTTTGTCCATTAGTGATGAAACCTCTTGCTCATGCTGTTGTTGCATCTCCTGTAAGCCCTGTTTGTCAACATCAGCACCCATGTTGGCTAGCATGGAGAGGTCAAAATCTGGCGAGGTTTCAGCAACTCGCTGCATCAGGAGAGCACTTTGACGCTTGTATGTGTTGGCTTCACGACGCAGATTTTTATTTTCACGGTACCACTGCATTAAAGGAGGGTTTAAATAACATGCTTTTCACAATTGTTAATTTTCCTTTGCCTAATATGATAACAGAACACTAACCAAACCTCAATCTAGTGAATAACAACCAATATGCTTCATACAAAACATGGATACAATTCAAATATCACTAATGCTTGAGGTCTGTCTTTTTAATTGTACCATCTAGCTATTTTAAGTCATAAGGAGTCTTTAAAATAGCTTTGGATGTAATGAAATAATAGTGAGAACTGAAAAAATAGAGGCAATGCAATAAGATCAACTCATTCCTGGATTCCACAGACGCATGCACAACCCAACTTTTGAGTTCAGTTGGTAGTGAATGTCTCTGGAGAGTCCAGGGATGAGAGTTCGATCCCATTCCAGTGCCTCAGGATTTTCTCAGACTTTGGTTACTGAAGAGTAATGCCAATATACTTTCAGTCAATGATATGAACAGGTACATGGTTACCATAAAGTCAAACCTAATTATACTTTTTATTTACTGCTATACTGCTACAAAAATTTGTAGCAGTATAGTGGGATGACTTAATAAAATGTACCATTAGTCACAAGTATTTTTACGTTATATTAAACAATATGGAAACGATGTTATAAAAAGAATAGGTAATAAATGGGAAGAATTGTACCTTGAATCCAGTGCTGATATACACAAATTAAACTATGCAACTAAACTATCAAGACTTAGGTGCTTAACTAAATTAATTTGGGGGTTCAATCCCTGATCCCATTATGTGCTTCTGTAACCCTTATCCACTAACACCCACAGGATGGGCATGAGGTGCATAATAAACAAACTAAATTAAAATTGGAGAAAATAAGAAACAAGCAGGAGTTACAAAACACAAAACTACATTCTACAATTAAGCCAAGTGCAGAGTTCTGACAACAATGTTAATTAAGAAACAAAATCAGAGCAGAATTTATTTTTAGATGACATTTTGTCTATGAGTACTTCATAAAATCTTAATATATGAACACAGGGTATATAGGGAACAACGGAAGAGGTCGGGGAGGTGAACCGCCACCTAGTTGACCTCCTCGACCTTGCCCTACCTGGGAGGTCAACCTCCACCTTGATTACTTCCTCGACCTTGCCCTACCTGGGAGGTCAACCTCGACCTTGCCCTACCTGGGAGGTCAACCTCGACCTTGCCCTACCTGGGAGGTCAGGGAAGTGAACCTCCACCTTGATTACCTCCTCGACCTTGCCCTACCTGGGAGGTCAACCTCCACCTTGATTACCTCCTCGACCTTGCCCTACCTGGGAGGTCAACCTCCACCTTACTCCACCTGGGAGGTGAGGGAGGTGCAGTTAAGGCAAGACATGAGGGACTGTGTAATGAAGATCAGGTAAGTTTATAAAGATAATAAATTAAATCTCTACACATAAATTAAATCTCTACACAATAGAGAAGCTTGTTTTTTCATTGTCAGGGTCAGATACCCTGGCTGGCTTATCAAGGTCATCCCAAGGTCAACTACTGACCTTCCCCAGGATGCTACTCCACAACAGTTAGTTAGTTATTTTTGTATAGTTTAGTTCATTTATTATGCACCCCATACCCATCTTGTGGGCGGTAGTGGAAGGGGGTTACAGAGGCACATAATGGGCTCAGGGACTGAACCCCACAATTCATTTAGCTAAGCAAGTTACAATCTTGATGAGCTAGTTACAAAATTCAAGATAAGTCGTCACATCAACAATGTGTTCGAGATCGACCACAAGTAGTTTCTAAATTAAGCAACTGACATATGTGGAGAGCTAGTGTCACAATTGATATGTTTGTCCTGCACACCGCCCCCCATCCAGTGGGCAGCGGTGGATAGGTTACAATCACTCAGTTACTACCTACAGTTAGCAAACAGTTGCCAAACTCCCAGGTAACTCTTTACTGCTAGGTGAACACTGGACATGTTATAAAACCCAATATGCAGCACTTAGCTACACAAAAAAGCAAAACAAAGTTAGAAAAGGTTTAGAGCTATGCCTGGGCCTGGGGCCTGACAGCTGAGTGGACAGCACTTCGGATTCGTAGTCCTGAGGTTCTGCGTTTGATCCCCAGTGGAAGCAGAAACAAATGGGCAGTTTCTTTCACCCTGTTCACCTAGCAGTAAATATGTACCTGGGAGTTAGACAGCTGCTACGGGCTGCTTCCTGGGGGAGTGTAACAAAAAGGAGGCCTGGTCGAGGACCGGGCCGCGGGGACAATAAGCCCCGAAATCATCTCAAGATAACCTCAGAGATGCAGTCAACACACACAAGTACTAACGTCAGTGGTGTCGGAAAATCAGACACCATTTAATAATCATACAGATAATAGCTGTATTGTATAAACAAGTTACCCATAGAAAACGTAACTTGTAGTGGAATTACCGTCTATAGAAAACGGGATATCATCACCACATACTATTATAATTCACCAGCTATTCTGCTGGGAATTATTCTTAAATACATTAGTCTTTGGACTTTACCATCATAAAAACATCTTATATAAATTAACTTAATTATCAATATTAAAGTAGAGTAAATGTGACCCTTCTATCACTTTCTGAAATCTGGACAAAGTAGGCCAGGCGTCAGGGAGGAAGGAGGGAGCCATTGTTGTGTCACCTCCGAGACGTGTGGAGCAAATTCGGCTCCTATCTTATCTGGACAATGTCGGCCAGTAACGTCAATAGTATGGAGTGTTAAACAGCCATTGTTTTGTACGAGACCAGAGGCTCACACGGGAGCAAATTCGGCTCCTGTTAATTTTACTTGGACGTAGTGTTATGGAACCCAAAGGTGTACCATTGTCAACACGCTGTCTACAAATTCAAGTTAAGTGTCTATCCGAAACCCGTTTATCATTCATTTATGGCCATTAATGTCAGGATATAGGGTGACCCGGTTAGATCACGTGGAAGCCTCAAACTAAAGGTAATTAAGCCAGGTCTTCATGTTCCATGTACAGTTTTCTCTGAAATACTTGTCATATATAGAATCTGGCTTTACAGCTAGCGCACTTTTGACAGGTCAAGACGAGGAAGCAAGATTTGTGCACCAGTTACTGGGTGATATGGAAGCTACCTCAAAGAGGATAATTTGGTGTCTACACCCTAGTTATACCTGGTGGACTAGCCTGCTGTACTATAAGATAAGGAACCTCTTCAATGTATGTAGTTAATACTGTAGTTTGATTGGCTGCATATATATATAAACTAATAAACCCCCCCTAATGTGTAGAGGATCGATTTGTGAGAATGAGATTATTGCAGAAATACAGTCCACTTATCATTATACAAATTGCTATCGAAGTATATAAATTAACGTAAATATAAATTCATATAAATTAAACAAATATAAATCTCACAGGTCGGTTCCCACACGTAGCCTCGAGGGAGCTCAGGAGCCTCCCTCAGTTCAGATCAGCCTTAGTCAGCGGTTTCATGCACACCCACAGATTTGGTGGCGTGTTATTCTGTGAAATGACAGCGCTAATATAGAAGCCAGCCAAATTAGTGACTGTGTCGCGAGATTGTTCACGGATTTCGTGGTGTTACATTTCGCGAGAGATTATCTACGAATTTTGTGGAGTTTATTTCGTGAGGTCACTAATAATATTTAATACTTCTAGATGATATTAGAAGTTTCATAGAGGCTAATTAAGAGGCTATTATCAATAATTGTGTATATTATTTCTCCAAATAGAGAATTATTTAATATATTGCACTAGTGATCACAGTATAATATTTACTAATTGCCAACCCACAACAGGGTAGGATATTAACCATTGACTAGTTGAACTATTATTGCTCATCCTAGTCCCATTATTACCATAGTCAGTTGTACTATATTGAATAACCTAACACCATTAATGAATGGTCCAGACCCTATTTTGGGTGTAATTTTTATCAACTCGAGTTGAGTTGTGTATATAATAATTTACTTATGATCATTACACCTTTGAGTGGTTAATTAGTGTCAATTCCATCCTAGGGTGATATAGAAGAGCTAACCTAAAGGTACTTCCAGTGACACTGGTTTATCACTCAAATCATTAGTGTGGATGATTGTATATATATAATGTGTATTAATTTTAAGTGCTAACCTCTAGTAGAGGTAGGATTATTGCCTAGTGAGTTCAGAATTTACCCTAGGCTACCATTAGTGTTTGTTCAGTATTATGAGCAGCCCAAGTACAAGCCCCACAAGGCTTCACCAACTAGCCAGGATGGATAATGCAGGGAGAATGAAAAGAACCCTTGCAGGTCTTAAAGGCCACTTAACAAGACAGATCAAGAAATGTGAAGATTTGTCACAACAATCTCAAGTTGATTATGCTGACCTGGAAAGCTATTATCAAGCAGCTGCAGGTAAATTTGAGCAAATCAAATGCCAAATGGCTGTCCTTGTGGGGACAGACTACTACCATCAATTCATTGGTAGCCCTACTAAATATCAGGGCATAACCATGTTAAACTCTGCAGGAGGTAAATTACTCTCAGGTCCAGTATCAAGCCTGAGGAGACCTATGCCTGCAGATAAACAATACCAATAGAAATCTAAATTTGTCAGCTGATTATATTTCTCCAGTAGCATTATACTAAGGAGATTACAGCTGACTATACCAACAGAGGTTGATGTTAGTATCATCATTTAAAGCTGAAGATGATTTCATGAGGCCTCAGTGGCAAATCAGTGAACAGTAGCCTAAAACAGCTACAAGTCACTGCGACCAATGTCACTGAACCCACTGCAGTCTCAGAACCATACTTTACTTTAATGATGAGCTATTCAATCTTCTGAATCAATTAACTAAATTAAAACCCCAATAAATCTGATGACTGATTTGATACATTTATTATTTAATCAAGATGTATTCCATGGGCCTCAGTGTTTATATATCAGTGACCAGTTACCTGAAGAAACTTCAAGTTATATCTAATGTCACTGATCTCACTGCAGTCCCTGAATCATACTTGACTGTAGTACTTGATCACATCCAGTCTTCTGGGTTAAATTATATGTAATTAGGCTTGAATATTAGCCTTTCAAGAGTTGACAGGGAAATGAAATTGCATTAGACTTCTAACCCCTGCAACTCTAGTACGGGACATCCGTCCTGTACGAACAGACGCACAAATGTGTGATTACTAACTACTAACATCAAATTAATCTAATAATTCGAAGGAGGAGTATCGGTGTTCGTCTGTTCTAATTAGGACTTCGACCCGTGAGCAGCCCCTGGGGAATTATGTCGGAAAATCCGACACCATTTAATAATCATACAGATAATAGCTGTATTGTATAAACAAGTTACCCATAGAAAACGTAACTTGTAGTGGAATTACCGTCTATAGAAAACGGGATATCATCACCACATACTATTATAATTCACCAGCTATTCTGCTGGGAATTATTCTTAAATACATTAGTCTTTGGACTTTACCATCATAAAAACATCTTATATAAATTAACTTAATTATCAATATTAAAGTAGAGTAAATGTGACCCTTCTATCACTTTCTGAAATCTGGACAAAGTAGGCCAGGCGTCAGGGAGGAAGGAGGGAGCCATTGTTGTGTCACCTCCGAGACGTGTGGAGCAAATTCGGCTCCTATCTTATCTGGACAATGTCGGCCAGTAACGTCAATAGTATGGAGTGTTAAACAGCCATTGTTTTGTACGAGACCAGAGGCTCACACGGGAGCAAATTCGGCTCCTGTTAATTTTACTTGGACGTAGTGTTATGGAACCCAAAGGTGTACCATTGTCAACACGCTGTCTACAAATTCAAGTTAAGTGTCTATCCGAAACCCGTTTATCATTCATTTATGGCCATTAATGTCAGGATATAGGGTGACCCGGTTAGATCACGTGGAAGCCTCAAACTAAAGGTAATTAAGCCAGGTCTTCATGTTCCATGTTCAGTTTTCTCTGAAATACTTGTCATATATAGAATCTGGCTTTACAGCTAGCGCACTTTTGACAGGTCAAGACGAGGAAGCAAGATTTGTGCACCAGTTACTGGGTGATATGGAAGCTACCTCAAAGAGGATAATTTGGTGTCTACACCCTAGTTATACCTGGTGGACTAGCCTGCTGTACTATAAGATAAGGAACCTCTTCAATGTATGTAGTTAATACTGTAGTTTGATTGGCTGCATATATATATAAACTAATAAACCCCCCCCTAATGTGTAGAGGATCGATTTGTGAGAATGAGATTATTGCAGAAATACAGTCCACTTATCATTATACAAATTGCTATCGAAGTATATAAATTAACGTAAATATAAATTCATATAAATTAAACAAATATAAATCTCACAGGTCGGTTCCCACATTATTTGGTCCTTCGAACCGGATTCGAACCAGTGACCTATGGATTCATTAAATATACTAGTGCAGTGTTATTTAAACAAAGGCCAGCCAGTCAAAGACGGAAGCGTAGCCTCGAGGGAGCTCAGGAGCCTCCCTCAGTTCAGATCAGCCTTAGTCAGCGGTTTCATGCACACCCACAGATTTGGTGGCGTGTTATTCTGTGAAATGACAGCGCTAATATAGAAGCCAGCCAAATTAGTGACTGTGTCGCGAGATTGTTCACGGATTTCGTGGTGTTACATTTCGCGAGAGATTATCTACGAATTTTGTGGAGTTTATTTCGTGAGGTCACTAATAATATTTAATACTTCTAGATGATATTAGAAGTTTCATAGAGGCTAATTAAGAGGCTATTATCAATAATTGTGTATATTATTTCTCCAAATAGAGAATTATTTAATATATTGCACTAGTGATCACAGTATAATATTTACTAATTGCCAACCCACAACAGGGTAGGATATTAACCATTGACTAGTTGAACTATTATTGCTCATCCTAGTCCCATTATTACCATAGTCAGTTGTACTATATTGAATAACCTAACACCATTAATGAATGGTCCAGACCCTATTTTGGGTGTAATTTTTATCAACTCGAGTTGAGTTGTGTATATAATAATTTACTTATGATCATTACACCTTTGAGTGGTTAATTAGTGTCAATTCCATCCTAGGGTGATATAGAAGAGCTAACCTAAAGGTACTTCCAGTGACACTGGTTTATCACTCAAATCATTAGTGTGGATGATTGTATATATATAATGTGTATTAATTTTAAGTGCTAACCTCTAGTAGAGGTAGGATTATTGCCTAGTGAGTTCAGAATTTACCCTAGGCTACCATTAGTGTTTGTTCAGTATTATGAGCAGCCCAAGTACAAGCCCCACAAGGCTTCACCAACTAGCCAGGATGGATAATGCAGGGAGAATGAAAAGAACCCTTGCAGGTCTTAAAGGCCACTTAACAAGACAGATCAAGAAATGTGAAGATTTGTCACAACAATCTCAAGTTGATTATGCTGACCTGGAAAGCTATTATCAAGCAGCTGCAGGTAAATTTGAGCAAATCAAATGCCAAATGGCTGTCCTTGTGGGGACAGACTACTACCATCAATTCATTGGTAGCCCTACTAAATATCAGGGCATAACCATGTTAAACTCTGCAGGAGGTAAATTACTCTCAGGTCCAGTATCAAGCCTGAGGAGACCTATGCCTGCAGATAAACAATACCAATAGAAATCTAAATTTGTCAGCTGATTATATTTCTCCAGTAGCATTATACTAAGGAGATTACAGCTGACTATACCAACAGAGGTTGATGTTAGTATCATCATTTAAAGCTGAAGATGATTTCATGAGGCCTCAGTGGCAAATCAGTGAACAGTAGCCTAAAACAGCTACAAGTCACTGCGACCAATGTCACTGAACCCACTGCAGTCTCAGAACCATACTTTACTTTAATGATGAGCTATTCAATCTTCTGAATCAATTAACTAAATTAAAACCCCAATAAATCTGATGACTGATTTGATACATTTATTATTTAATCAAGATGTATTCCATGGGCCTCAGTGTTTATATATCAGTGACCAGTTACCTGAAGAAACTTCAAGTTATATCTAATGTCACTGATCTCACTGCAGTCCCTGAATCATACTTGACTGTAGTACTTGATCACATCCAGTCTTCTGGGTTAAATTATATGTAATTAGGCTTGAATATTAGCCTTTCAAGAGTTGACAGGGAAATGAAATTGCATTAGACTTCTAACCCCTGCAACTCTAGTACGGGACATCCGTCCTGTACGAACAGACGCACAAATGTGTGATTACTAACTACTAACATCAAATTAATCTAATAATTCGAAGGAGGAGTATCGGTGTTCGTCTGTTCTAATTAGGACTTCGACCCGTGAGCAGCCCCTGGGGAATTATGTCGGAAAATCCGACACCATTTAATAATCATACAGATAATAGCTGTATTGTATAAACAAGTTACCCATAGAAAACGTAACTTGTAGTGGAATTACCGTCTATAGAAAACGGGATATCATCACCACATACTATTATAATTCACCAGCTATTCTGCTGGGAATTATTCTTAAATACATTAGTCTTTGGACTTTACCATCATAAAAACATCTTATATAAATTAACTTAATTATCAATATTAAAGTAGAGTAAATGTGACCCTTCTATCACTTTCTGAAATCTGGACAAAGTAGGCCAGGCGTCAGGGAGGAAGGAGGGAGCCATTGTTGTGTCACCTCCGAGACGTGTGGAGCAAATTCGGCTCCTATCTTATCTGGACAATGTCGGCCAGTAACGTCAATAGTATGGAGTGTTAAACAGCCATTGTTTTGTACGAGACCAGAGGCTCACACGGGAGCAAATTCGGCTCCTGTTAATTTTACTTGGACGTAGTGTTATGGAACCCAAAGGTGTACCATTGTCAACACGCTGTCTACAAATTCAAGTTAAGTGTCTATCCGAAACCCGTTTATCATTCATTTATGGCCATTAATGTCAGGATATAGGGTGACCCGGTTAGATCACGTGGAAGCCTCAAACTAAAGGTAATTAAGCCAGGTCTTCATGTTCCATGTACAGTTTTCTCTGAAATACTTGTCATATATAGAATCTGGCTTTACAGCTAGCGCACTTTTGACAGGTCAAGACGAGGAAGCAAGATTTGTGTACCAGTTACTGGGTGATATGGAAGCTACCTCAAAGAGGATAATTTGGTGTCTACACCCTAGTTATACCTGGTGGACTAGCCTGCTGTACTATAAGATAAGGAACCTCTTCAATGTATGTAGTTAATACTGTAGTTTGATTGGCTGCATATATATATAAACTAATAAACCCCCCCTAATGTGTAGAGGATCGATTTGTGAGAATGAGATTATTGCAGAAATACAGTCCACTTATCATTATACAAATTGCTATCGAAGTATATAAATTAACGTAAATATAAATTCATATAAATTAAACAAATATAAATCTCACAGGTCGGTTCCCACAAGTGGTACAATAAAACCATAAAAGTACAAACCTGTTCTGCAGTCAACACACACAAAAGTACTACTGTATCTCAGTAGCACAGCTAAACTATAAAGTTGCTAACCTGTGGAACAGTTCCACTCAAAATATAAAAGTACTTACCTTAGTGGTACAACCAAACCATAAAAGTACTAACCTTAGTGGTACAACCAAACCATAAAAGTACTAACCTTAGTGGTACAACCAAACCATAAAAGTACTAACCTTAGTGGTACAACCAAACCATAAAAGTACTAACCTTAGTGGTACAACCAAACCATAAAAGTACTAACCTTAGTGGTACAACCAAACCATAAAAGTACTAACCTTAGTGGTACAACCAAACCATAAAAGTACTAACCTTAGTGGTACAACCAAACCATAAAAGTACTAACCTTAGTGGTACAACCAAACCATAAAAGTAGTAAACTTAGTGGTACAACCAAACCATAAAAGTACACTAACCTCCGTGGCGCGGTTAAAGGCCTGAGCCATGGACTCTGTCTCTACTTGATAGCGTTGTCTGAGGTCATCATACTCGTGGTAGACAGCTTCAGACACTGTTGAGACGACTGTGAGGTCAGAGTCTGTCAGAGACAAAGAGGAAGGAAGACGATAGATAGGAAGAGAAAGTAGGAGAATAAGGAGGAGGAGGAGAGGGTGAGCAAACAGGAGGCTCAAACTTTAGACAGAAACAAGAGAGACTTAGGGAGAGTACAAAGGTGTGTGTGTGTAGGTGCATGCAGACATTAGTTACACACGTGATATGAGGTATGTAAGATTTATGAATCAATGAATCAGTCCTGCAAACAATGCTTGATATATTTAATTAACCACGAAGCTAATACTCTATACAGAATCACATATTTGAAATGTATAAATATATAAAAAAATAGTATAACAAGGTGAAAAAATCGTCTTAAATGGAATCAATTTGACATTAATTACATCATTAATGATATTAATGACATCATCTTCAAGAACGTGGAAGGTCCTTTGACAAGCCGACATCTTCCTGTCTTGGTCGAGGCCACTTGAGCGTTAGTGGCCCTCAGGTAAATTCAGGTCAATTTTCTGTTTTTATTCAATGGATGCGGTCAGTTTTGTGCACATTCGCCAAGTGAGCACATTAAACGATTCTTCGCGGCGGGGATCATATTCCAGGGACCTGCCCGAAACGCTACGCGTACTAGTGGCTCTACAAGATTGTAACAACTCTTGTATATATCTCAAACAAAAAATAAAAAGTGAGCGACTCCGCCAGACTGAGAAAGGTGAGACACTCATGAGGATCACTTTTTGTGCACTCATTTGTTGTTATCCATGAACGGTCTCATCTTGTTAACTTGCTTCTCCTGTAGTATTAACTGTTTGACTCCCTCACACTCTTACTTAAATTTGGTGTCTATTTATTTTATGTTTTTGTGGGAAACGCTTTGCGTAATAGTTACTTAATTAAAAAATTAGCATGTGTAACTCCTCTTCCTACAATTGTACATTAATTATTATCTTCATTATTCTTTTGTACATTATTCTTATGTTATCTTCTTGAGATGATTTGAGGTTATCTTGAGATGATTTCGGGGCTTTAGTGTCTCCGCGGCCCGGTCCTCGACCAGGCCTCCACCCCCAGGAAGCAGCCCGTGACAGCTGACTAACACCCAGGTACCTATTTTACTGCTAGGTAACAGGAGCATAGGGTGAAAGAAACCCTGCCCATTGTTTCTCGCCGGCGCCTGGGATCGACCCCGGGACCACGGGATCACAAGTCCAATGTGCTGTCCGCTCGGCCGACCGGCTCATGTCTGGCTCTGATGTGTACACACATTCTTTTGAACAATTACTCATTTATTAAGACTCTTGTACCTGTCTGGGCAGTCACTGTTGGCATTGAGGCACATTCCTATGTTTGTTTCCTTAGTGTAGATTAAGCGCTAAGCCAGTGCGACTATATACCACCTGGAAGGGATATTAGAACAAGGATCAGCTGGGACAGGACATAAGGAAGGAATGGTGCCCAACCAGTTGGACCATCGGGGATCGAACGCCGACCTGCAATAAGCTAGGCTGTCGCTGTACCGACACAGAATGAGAGTATGACTTAATTATTAAGGCATCCTTGTATGTTGTGCAGTTGAACCCCATCACCCTGCTGGTTGAACTAGTCTTACAGAACATTGTGAGACATGTGAATGATCTCTATCCTGGGACCAGATTCACGAAGGAGTTACGCAAGCACTTACGAACGTGTACATCTTTCCTCAACCTTCGACGCCTTTGGTTACATTAATTAAACTGTTTACAAGCATGAAAACTTGCCAATCAACTGTTGTTATTGTTATAAACAAGCCTCCTGGTGCTTCGGAGCTCATTAACTGTTCAATAATTGGAAACAAAGCCGCCAAAGATTGAGAAAAGATGGACAGGTTCGTAAGTGCTTTCGTGAATCTGGTCCCTGGTCCTGTACAGGCTTGGGAACATTCTCCGTCCTGCACACATTTTGTTTTAAAATTTCTTTGCCATTATGGCAACTCGACGAGTTTACAACATTTTTCTGAATGGCCGATTTTGGCGCCATTTTGTATAACTCATAATGAATCACGTCCATGTCCGACAGACCACTGGAACATTATTTCAACTTAGATTCAACAGAGCAGAAGTTGTTGTTGAACACATATGGCAAAATCTTACTGAAGCGACCATACGAGTCATTAATACTCATACTCCGCCCAAGTCAGACAGAAACAAGCAACACTTAGTGGGCCAGCCAGAGGCTTAGGGCCCGCGCAGGATTATCCCTGCAAAAAAAAATAAAAAAATTACGTCCATCGTGGATTTACACGTTCTCCAGAGGTTCCTTATAATTACCAATGTTCGTCTTACGACCTGTGTCACCCGTCTAGTTCCCTTTCTTGACTTTCTTATTTTCTGGACATATTTTTGAACGAGTTTCGTGATGACTTGAAATGTTGCCATGATGCTTCCGTGCCATGTTCACGGACCACTACGTACAAAACACGACCTATTTCAACTTGATCCCAAAAGTAACTGGTAATAAAAGCAACAGAGGCTACGGTGTTATGATGAGATACATACTAATACCAAACTTAACAAAAAAAGTGTCAAATGACCCACTAGGATGGCCTCAAACACACCACCAAACTACAATGTTGCGACAACGTTTCAACAAGGTTTAACACCTAACACGTTGTAACAACGTCCTAATACGTCATAAAAACGTTTTACCAAGATGCAATAACTTTATTACAAGTTGTAACAAGGAAATCCTAGGGAGAATTACGTCGTGTGCTTGGAGGGAAGGTAGCCACTCAGAGCCCAACATAGTAACGCCTCGCCATATTGCTTGCGTGTGTCTCTACAGCCTGTGCGAGCAAGGGAGGAAGGATACCTGCTTGATACCTGGTTGATGGGGTTCTGGGAGTTGTTTTACTCCCCAAGCCCGGCCCGAGGCCAGGCTCGAGAGTTTGGTCCACCAGGCTGTTGCTTGGAGGGAGGAGGTAAACATACTGGTGAACCAATACATGCCGTGAGGCTCCCCACATACAGTTACCATGATGGGTGTGTGGGGGAAAAAACGCAGCCGAGCAAGGGCGTGTACCAGCAGGGTTGTACCAGCAGGCATCCCTCGTCCCTGGCAGGGGAGGTGGGCCAAGCACAGGAGACAAGGGGGTGCGAGGCACTATAGGAGTGAACGGTCCTGTAGAGATACACACACACACACACACACACACACACACACACACACACACACACACACACACACACACACACACACACACACACACACATACATACAAGAAAACATTGAGCCACATACAAACAGACAGACTCAAGCAGACACAGACAGCCATACAAGCAGACATAATAGACAGGCAGATATCAAATCATAGACAGACAAGGTACATTTATTTTAACTTCATTAAAAAATTGTATTATATTCCCGCTTAACTTGGACAACTAAGAAGAGACAACAATATCTCCTGCTTGAGAAGGCTGGTTGTATTGACCTGCAGGCGCGGGGCCCACGCCCCCCCCCCCGCCCTCATCCAGCAGCCGCAGGAGGCCGCCTGCGGCTGGACACCCTCCTACAGGTACCTTCCAACACTACCTACACACCTCTTACCCACAGTGTCAGTAGAGCTCACGAGACAACTGTTCAAGACGCTGCTTAGTGCCAGAGTCAGCACGGGAGAGAGAGAGCATTCCTGGGGACACCGTCAGCGCCGCCGTCAGGAGGAAGGGAGGCGCCGTCAGCGCCGCTGTCAGGAGGAGGGAGGCGCCGTCAGCGCTGCCCTCAGGAGGAAGGGAGACACCGTCAAGAGGAAGGGAGGCGCCGTCAGCGCCGCTGTCAGGAGGAGGGAGGCGCCGTCAGCGCCGCCGTCAGGAGGGAGGCGCCGTCAGCGCCGCCGTCAGGAGGAGGGAGGCGCCGTCAGCGCCGCTGTCAGGAGGGAGGGAGGGGGACATCCACAGGTCCGCCATGGTGACAACTGACCTCTTAACATGTCTAAATAAGAGCACCTCTTCAGACAAAATACCGCGGCCATATAATGGGATCGAACCCGCGTCCCTGGCTGACAAGCAGGGGCGACTGATAAAGAGATAAATATAGTACGTTCCCTTGCTCAGAGAAAGCACAGTTGACGGTGACCCAGCAACCCGTCCTCACGCCACTCCGGTAAAAATACAACTGTCTTGCCTAACGAGAAACGAGCCTAAACCAAATGATACAAACAGTCAACATTACAATGCTTTAGTTGGACAAATAATTCCCATCTTTAACGGACCTGTCAGAAACACAATACTAAAGAATATACAAATGGCGAGAAGGACTTCCAGGGGAGGTCAGCTTGACGCGTCAGGCAGCTCCATTACCAACCCCAGACTTAGAGAAGAGATCAGAGCAAGACTTTTCTTGTAAAACCCCAAGAAAAGGTTTAGAGAGCAGCCCCTGGTGCGACATAGAGAAGATCTGTGGGGCCATGAGTCTGTGGCACCAGGAGTCTGTGGCACCAGGAGTCTGTGGCACCAGGAGTCTTTGGCACCAGGAGTCTGTGGCACCACCTGTGGCACCAACTACTATCGTCTCCTCTATGCTGTAGACTCTAAGACCTTTTCTGGCATTACTTTCCCGACATATTGACACCTGAGCATATTGACACATATTGACACCTGACACTATCCTATCTATAAGACAGCATATGTTCTCATTTTGGGTTAGGTTAGGAGGGATAGATTCGATTTGGATAGGATGTGGCCGGGTAGGTTAGGGGGACGACAGGATCACATCAGTTAGGATGGGTTAGGATTTGGGTTGGATAGTTGACAAACGCCGATGGGTACATCCTTCCCTCAGGGCCTCGCCCCAAGACATGCTATGTGCTCAAATGCTTGCAAGTCAAATTCCTTATGTCAGACATATACGTCTTGGAAATTTGCAATTAAATCTGCATTGTGCGGGCGAGGCTGCGACCGCAACAGGTGTCAGATGACACCGCTCTCATGACAGCTGGGATCTCTTGCCCTCATGACAGCTGGGATCTCTTGCCCTCATGACAGCTGGGATCAT